AGGAACCTGCAGCCTGTCCCCCAAACCCCTGACTCCCAAGCTTTTGCTTGCCCTCCACCCCTTGTCGTCCCCCCCCGTTACCGTTCCCCCAGATACCCACTTTCCCCTACCATAACCACTGCTCTGGCTCTGATCTCTCCAGCACTGACCCAGCTAAGCAGTGAGTGGCCGCTGCTTCTTCCTGGCCTTGCTGTACTGGGCCTGAGCTGGGGCCACTGCTGCTGTTGACTGCCCCAGAGAAGCAGAGTTGAAGAAGAAGGCAGGGAAAGGAATTACACCCCTATAGCATGAACTGAAGTTGTATGGTTAAAATTGGTAATGGAGGAATGAAGTCCAGAAGAGTTGTACACATCCACATCATTCATTAAAATGTAAAATGTGCATCTAAATCCTCTAAAGCAGTGGGAGCCAATTGGCAGCCATGAGCTCTGCAACATCTCCAAGTGCTACTCTGATCCCCTACCCATGCCTGATCTGCTGCTCTTTCTCCTTCCTGCCCTATCTGCTGCTGCTGCGCTGTCTGTTCCTTCTTAGATCTGCCACATGCCACACACAGAGGCTTCCCATGCCCCTTGTGTCACACACTGCTGTAGAGTGCTTTAAAAATTTGGACTGGTATTTGTAGGCAAGGATATGCTGCTATTTACATAATAGCATCTATGCTGGTGTTGATTCCACACATCATGCACTTGCATTAATTTTAAATCCATGTCTGTGAGAAACTTGCAAAATTTAACTCAAAACTGTACAATCTAGGTAAGTAAATAAATCAGTAAGTGGTTAAATAGATAAAAAATAAGCAAATCACCACCAAATGTGGAGCTGTGTTTTGGTTTTAAAGTGTTTTGGACCAATTTGCTAACGCTGAATCATTACCCTCTGCTGCCATGCAAATGAAGGGTGTTTTTCAACAGAGATGGTCTTTTGGAAAACAAAGTGATACAATAAACATCATAGAATTGAATACACTCCTCCAACCTTTGAATGAAAGCAATAACAATTAATAACCAGGAAAGAATAAGGAACAACACGCAGAGTTCTCTAATATCAAAATATAGCAATTTATTCAAGACACTGAATATGATCTGTTGATTCTCTCCTTAAAACAAATGAGCTACAATACACAAGGTGAATCTTGAGAGTGTGTGGGTAGGGAGAAAACAAAATAAGGGTTGACGTTGTTTCAACAGAATCTGGAAAATGCTTAAAAGAGAACCAAGTCTGGCTGCAAGTCTGACACAGACAATAAAAACTGCAGAAGCCAGAATTCAGAATTTCAGTGAGTGGCTGAAAGAGCATTTCTGCAATTGACAAAGAAACACAATTTAAAAAAAAAGGCAAAAGAGGAACAGAGGAGCAAAAAAGAAGGGAAAAAGAACAAAAAAGGAAGAAAAAAAAAAAAGAAACCCCAAAAAAACAAAGCAGACCCTTACATTTGACAAAGTGCACTTCACTTGGCTCTAAAATTAGCTAGTTTTTATCTTTTTTAAAAAAAAACAAGTCAAAAGGAAATTTCTAAGACGTAGCATGGGATTAGTGCGTGTTTAACCCTGTAAGTCAGGCCTTTTAATGCCCCATAAGGGACCCAGTGTTTTCTACTTTGAAGATGCAGTATCCTCTTACCATATGGAACTTGGGTATGTATTCAAAGACTGAAGCTTCACCTCAAACACAGTTCCAAAGCAGCCAGTAAAAGTATCATGCTAGTAACATTTACTGGTTTAGTTTGGGTGTCGGCAACCTTTTACTGCTACAGGATGAAGCTTGTGACCCAGCCCCCTGTTGCAGGCCACAAATCTCTGCCTCTGACAGCACCCAAGCTGCCAGCACTTACCCTTGTTGCTGATCCCCGGCCCCTCTGCACTGAGGGTAAGCTCAGGCACGAGAGATCAGCAGGGAGGGAAATGCTGCAGAAGGGATGGGTGGCACAACACAGCTCCGTGCCATCTAACCTTTGGGCTACCCTGGGCCAGATCAGACCTATAAGGGCAGGCTTCAGCCTGTGCCTTAGGTTGCAGACCCCTGATTAAGTTGGTCACTTGGCCATTTCCCTTTTGGTTTTTTTTCCTTCTAAGCATTATAAACAAAAACGTTATATAAAACAACCCTGTACAAACCATAATTATATTCTTTCATTGTTTTTTCATGCTGCTGTATCTCGTACGTCCTGCTTACACTTATATGAAGTGTAAGCTTATATGAAGATTATCCACTAACTACCATTGAAGGTTTTCTCATTCTTTTAGCATTTGTCTTTTTCCAGCTTTCAGTGCACCATTTGCAAAAGACCAGAGAACATACACAGAATTCTTTGGGATGACAGCACCTTTCGCTTACAGGCTTGGATCCTGATGAATTCGAAACTCGTGTTTTATCTCCTTACCTCCCTCTGTATGCAGCAGATAACTTCAGAAAAGAAACCCCCTGCTTTGACACCTTTGCAGTGTCTGTAGTTAATATTCCTGGAATTGTATCCATCAGCTATAAAACACAGGCACCGTCTGTGTCTCCAGAAAGTTGTGCAGCAAAAGTAATTGAACTCAAATCACTCATTCTCATCTCTCCACATCTTCAAATTTGGCCTGTTCAAGAGTCACACAAAGTGCAGACTTAAAAGAAAGGGACTTGTCAATGCCTTGTGCACCTTCAAAACTAGGTATTATTTGCCCATGAGCCCCACAGATATAGCCTCAGACTTGCACACAACACAGGGAAAAGCTTAAGATGCCAACCACACACATATACACACTCACACAATTGCTCTATTGAGTAATCAATCCAACGTTCTTTATAAAACCTTATTGAAACTGTAATAAAGGTCAGTTTCCCCTTTGAGCACATACTGTTTTTTTTCTTATTGTGAGTTTAAAGCGGTCGGGTAAGTGGCTATTATAAAACAGTTAAAAATGTCATGTGATCAACTAAAGGCATGCTCTCTATGGAAAAAGAAACTAATATGAGTACATTAAAACAAGTACAATGACTCTTGCCACATCCAACCTTTCATTCTTTGGTGTAAATAGCAATAGTAATTAAGAAACCAAATCTCAAATAAATGTTTCCACATCAGGACTAAATAATCCTCCTGGTAGTTCACTTGTCTTAATTAGCTACCCTCCAGTTTCATATCTTTTATATATAGTCCTGGAGTCACTGATGTTTTATTGCAGTGAAAAGGCTGAGATACTTTACATATATAATTTGGAAGAGAGAGAATATCAGAGGAAACAAAATGCTAATTCCATACACTAAGAAACTTTTCCATACACTAAGCAATTTTCACTTCAGCATTTCACTGTTATGGACCTGGCTTGAAGGCACCTTTGCAACCTCCCAGTCCTGGGCTGGTTTAGGGCCTGGTGAAGCTCCTGGCCTGATCCAGGTGGATCTGAGGTACAGTCTTTGTCAATGGTTTTCAACCTGTGGTCCACAGGCCCCTAAGGATCTGTAGACTATGTCTAAGGAGTCCATGAAAGATGACTATGATCAATCAAAGTATGTGAATACCCCCACTTACAATTCAAAGGGGTCTGTACCTCCATTTGACATTTAGGGGTCTACAAATGAAAAAAGGGTTGAAAACCACTGGTCTACATTACGGCAACATACTGGGGCTGCCAGGAATCTCTCCATGTGGCCCTTCCCATAACATGCCTCTTCTGCCTCCAGCATGTACCCCCACCACATCTTACAAGGGGATCTTTAGTAAGCAGGCTTTTAACTTTCTTCTGGCATGCCTGTGCTGGAGTATCTACCCCTGGGTGGATAGCTGGCATTTAGAAACCTTCTTCTCTGCTTGGAGCCTTTCACTTGTTAAGTGGATAATGTTAGGATGTCACCTAAGATGTCCAGTCTTATTGGTCCTATTAAGTCAGTGGTACAAGTCCCATTGACTTAATGAGAGGAGGATCAGCCCAAAAAGATGACAAGTAAAATAAGGGACGGAAGGAAGCAGAATTCAAGCCTTATAGGAATGTAGGACCATTCATATAGGAATAAAAACACACTATTCTTTTAGTTATTACCATGAGTATTTGTATATATGGACCCACAGAAATGAATACTGTATTATAACCTCAAACTTCTAAGTTCATTTAATAAATTTAAATCAGCATCAACACAGAGCCACAAAAATGAAATTAAACTATTGAAACTTCTGGCTGCAGGAAAATATTTCTTTAAAAAAATGACTGATCTGTTATATTGAATGAAAATTTTCTTACAGTGGTTATTCAGCTGGGGGAGAGGAGTAAAGGATACTGCATCTTTCATGTATCTTGGATTCCATTTGCATCATTCTTTTCTAGGAATTACACAACCAGTTTATCTTCAGTGGCCATTTTAGGCTTTTAAAATTGTGTTTAACATAAAAAATATTTTTTTCCAAAAATACACTGGGTTCTCTCTCTTAAAAGTCATCTTTCTCCTGTAAAAAGCTTCCCCGGCACTGCATTCTTATATAAAGCACTTATTACACAATTTGCTGAAAGTGCCCTTGAGACGCTAAGATCTGAAGCATGGAGGATTTTTTTTTAAATAAGCGGGGGTGAGGGGAAGAGAAAGAGAGAGGGAGAGAAAAGAAAGGAGAAGCAGTCTGTCAGAAGTTTTCACTGTCATGTCCACCTGGCTGCATCTACTATGGGCATATAGGAAAAAAAGGGGGAAAAAAGAAGAGAAAAGAAAGAAAAGAAAGGAAGGAAGAAGAAAAAGTGGCAGGGAAAATAAAAGGAAAAAAAATCAGTTCCAACCTAAGCCTGGGATCTTCCAGACTATAATATTCCAGCTGATAGAAAAACCACTGAACAAAAAAGTAGTCTAGAAAATAGAAAGTGTTGTGATTACAAAGTTGCGCATTTCATCAGTACAAACTGGTCTTTGAACGTCCTTTGGGAGAGCAACTGTAGTGTCCAAATTGGAAGGAAAAAAAATACAACACCACATGGAGGAGGATTTTTTTTTCCCTTTTGGTTTATCACAGCATTTTGCTTTTTTTGTTTGTATTTTTTTTTTTGGCACAGCTTTTTTTCTCAGCCATCAGAGCAAGTTCTCAGATGCAAACAAAACAGTGCAATGTCTAGCTGGTGGCTTCATGCTTCCAAGGCTGAATGTTTCAGGTGGAAACCATCCCCTCCCCCTCTGAAGTGACTGTGTTTTTACTCCTTGATGAAGGTTACGGACAAAATACTAGACATCTGTGGCCAGGGAGAGTTGTTTCATTGTACACTCTAACTTTTTTCAAGTTCATACAGTTCTGGAGCTGTTAAGAATAGTTTTGAAGAGTGCTTCTCCCCACACATTCACTGCTGGTCCATTTGAAATTTCTTCTAAAACACTTCATTTTTACTTCCGCAGATCTAGAACGCAAACCTAGAAAGATAGAGAGAAAAGGCTCAAGATTAAAAAAAAATTTCTTGAATGCTTTTTCTGGGTTCTTCATTTGCGTGTGTGTGTGTGTGTGTGTGTGTGTGTGTGTGTATTCATATTGCATTATAGATATATATGTATGCATATGTTTATTATACACACACATATACTGTATATTCTATACAAGCTTATCTTGTCATAAGGCAATTTAGTAATAACTGAGATAATGCATCCCAGGATATCAGTGACTGGGGAAATATTCTGCCTCTACCAGGTTGTGAATTAAAAGATGAAGCAGGACCTTTCCTTTCTACTTGTTTATCTTCTCTATGATAATCTCCAGGATTTGTACATTAAGGATCATGGAGAAAGAAAAAGTAATAATTGTTACTGACTTCTGAGCAAAGACTAGTATGGAAAAACCTACTGAAGGACTTGATCCAAAGCCCTATCAGTTGATAGAAAACTCCATTGACTTCAGACAACGCTGACCAAGGACCAACCAAGGCAATAGTAATTAATAGAACAAAAATTACTATTGTATTTTCCCCCCTTAAACAGGATTCCTGTGACTATAAACAAAAACAAAACTGAAAATGCATGACTATTCAAAGAAGGAAAAAGTGGGAATCTGGCTGTGTGATCACAGCATTTTCTTATGCTTATGGGAAAGCATAGGTTTGCCCTGCCACTGAAAAGTATACTATATTCTGTAGGCCAGTAAGATAATTTAATAATGGTTTTGTGACACAACCTAAATGTACTCCTGAGAATAACTAAGCATAGTACTACGTTAGCAATTTGCAATAGATTTGAAAAACCAACTGGAATCAAAGAAATCCAGGGTTGCCTGTCTTCTGAAAGACTGATTGTGCCAGAAGTCAAGATAACCGCCAGTGCTTGTGTCATGTGAGTATATAAAGTCATAGCTTGCCCCACCCCTGGAATAGTCTGTACTTTTGGTTCTGCGTTCGTCTGGCACAGCAAACATGGTGATCACTCAGTCAACTGCTGAGAAAAGTGCATATTGGCTTCTCAAGCTGCTGAGTATACTAAAGGCAGTGACAGTCAGCTGTCAGTTACAGTACAACCTCGTTATAATAAATCCACTTGGAAACAGGAGAAAAGTTTAAGGGCCCTGGCAGACATTACATCTATGGTGTGATTTTGTTAATCATGCTATGAATTTTAACATGTTACATGCTCAATGTTCAAATTATGCCATAATACAATGGCAAACCAGGCGCACAGATATTTTTCTTTTACTTTTACATACTTTTACCAGGCCCACAGATAGTTTACTTTTAATGTGGACATCTTTGTAACTGGTTTGTATCATTTGCGTTGTGCCTTAAATTGAACATATGGCACATGTGCCAGACGTGGGGCTGCCCTGTGCCCTACCCCAGTGGTCACCTGAGTATTGGAATGGTGCATGGGGCAGCCCCAGGGGCCAGGATACAACCCCACCTGCCTGATCCAGTTAAGGATCATGCTCAGCTGAATTTGGGTTTGGGCAAGAGACAGTTCCAGGTCACGGTTTAGCCTCAGTTATCACAAGATCAGGATCTTAGAAATTTTATGCTCTATTCCAAACACTGCACATCCTGCCATGGACTTCTGGCATGGCAGGTCATGTGATGTTTGGGACAGCACATAAAATGCTGAAGATCCCAACTGCAACATTTTTTTAACATTTGCCAGGGCCTTTAAAGAAGGTGTTTGCTATAAAATGGTTAGTTAACTGGCTGCACCATAATAATTAAAAAAATGGTTCCTGCTCTTCTTGTCAAAAGTGGGAAGTCACTATAAACAGTGTTGTTATAATGATATTGTACATATTGTACTATATTTACAGTATTGTACAGTATCGTATTTCAGTGGCAATCATGATTAATTGGTATTTTAGTATAATGATCAGCACCACCACCAACACCAAGGTAAAACCTCTTCTTTACTCATGACTAAAGCTCTGGGTATCACATAGAAAAATTCCTTCTTTAGGTTCTATCCTAGGGTATATTTCTGCTGTAACAAGGAACTTAAGGAATGAAAACAATGAAAAGAGAAAGTCTTAAGACAGCAAAGACTTTAAAATTTCTGCAACCTCCACAGCATGTTGCTGCATAAGGTTGATAATGGATGCGATAAAGATATCTTTTAAAATATTTTTATGTAAGTGTTTTTTTTTCCTCAGAGATACTACCAATTCCAGTGGAATTCCTCATTTTAAATATAGGGAACACCCCTTAAACATATAAGGATTTTCAGAACAGAAAAAGTTTATATTATCTATGGATATATTTGTTTACATTTATTTAAAAAAATTCCATATCTCTGATCTTTGTGCACAGATAGCAATAGTGCATGAACTTATTGCTGACACACTTCACAGGGCATATTTCCTCCAAAATATTTACAATAAATGATTCAAAATGTTTACCGATCCGTCTGATGCACTTGCTCCCACTTTATCTCCTCTAGCATTCCAACAGACTTCAAAGATGCCTCCAGTGCCTCTGTAGCTATGTACTAGAGTTCCACTCTGGAAAGCAAACAATTGATAAATATTTGATACTTAATTTCTTTTTTTTTTTCATTTTAAGATAGGCAACACTTGCAGTGCACACTTGACATTGTTCGTCTGCTATTAAGTATATGGGTAAGTCTGCAGTGAGGCATCAAGACCAAGGATGAAATCCTGGAACTATTCAAATCAATGAAGTTTTTGCCATTGATTTCAGTGGGCCCAGCATTTCATTCAGTTCTTCTCTGTGGGGCTGGACTTCACACTTATACCCTTCTCAATAGCCCTCTTTCAAATCTGACACCTGCACTGCATGATTGAGCCATATCAGTTCCACAGCTGGGAGGATCTCTGAGGTTTACACTGTAGAAAGAAATAGGTGATTCACATACAGAACATTTTTTTTTATTCACTAGGGGACAGATAGCTCTATACAAAGGGTAACCATATTCTTTTTAAGGATATCTGGGACACTAACCTCCCCACCCTGCTCTGGCATACCATGCCACTTCGCCACTCCGCTAGACTGTGCCCCACACCTGTGCAATTCTGGGAGCAAGATCCCACAGCTGGGAGCCTCCGCAGCTGAGGGGTGCCCAGCCAAATGAGTACACCATGCATTGCCACAGCTGGGAGACTGCTGCAATCTTCCAGCCTGGGGGGGTGCATGAAACCCTGGGGCTGGGACATCGCATCTACATGATCCCTCAGACTCAGGGGCTTCGGGCACCCCTGAGGCTGGGAGACCATACCAGCTGCAAACTCGTAGCTCCAGGGGTTTCATGCACCCCTAGGGCCAGGAGGTCACAGCTTGGGGCTGCTGGAACCCAGCTGGGTCCCAGCACCAGAAGGCACGGTGCCGGGATCTAGAGTCCACAGCTGCTGGGGCTGACAGTCCCCTCAGTTGCAGGACTCCCAGCCCTGGCTGGGCAGGGCACACCTCTATGGCTGGGAGCCCTGTCAGCTGACAGAGCTCCCAGCCACAGGGAAGACCCTGCAGCATGCATGCAAATTAAAGCTTGATAGTAACCAGCTATAAAGTTAGTATGCATTTTTGAGGTCTAACTTTACAGCTGCTTGGAGCTTTTTATGGTGTGATAGCTACTTTCAATGTGTAGCTAATCTCAGGTAATTGCACAATTAACCAGTTAATTTTTAACCAATAATAATTATAACCAGTTAATTGCACAATAGCTATAACATGTAGAGGAGGCCTCAGATTCACCTTGCCTAACACATTCAGTACATACAGGTATATACACTTTCCAGTTATGATTTTAGCCATTAATATTGCATTTATAACATTATTCTATTCTGCATATAAACCAGATACCTGTGTATTCCATATATGGACACATTTGTCAAAGGATCCACTGGCCAGGTATTTTCCATCAGGACTAAAAGCTACACTGTAGACAGGTTCTTGATGTTTGGTTAATGTATGAATGCAGACTCCTCGTTCAACATCCCACAGCCGAACAGTAGAATCAAATGAAGCACTACAGGAACATTCAAATTAATCAGCAACTAATCAATAAATGATATTGGAAATATTTAAAGAGAACATTTCCCATTTAAATAAACATTTTAAACAGGAAAAGGATAGAATGGCTGATTATCCATCAATGTCTGGACCTCCTCATTGTAAGAAATTTGTTGTGGTAGACGTGTGCTAGATCTCTAAACATTAATAGAGGTTTACTGAACAAACGTAAAAGAAATGAACTCTAATACTATCTCTGTCCATAATGACTAGCTCACCACTCTGTAATACAGAGTATTAGTAACTGTAAACTAGGATAACCTGCCTCCAGAGAATTTCACTTCCTGGTCCTCACTTAATAATCAAACCTTGTTTCAGATTCCCTAATGCAGTGGTTCTTCTCATCCTTTTTTACACCCACTACCTATGAGCTACTCAGTTTTTTGCAAAGATCCTCCTAAATACAACATTATGGACTAGAGAGCAGGAAGAGAAATCCTTCATATTCTATAAAAAACAAATCAAGAACAACAAAGGCACAAATCCCACAAAAACTAACTGATGAACAAAATCAATAAGGCAATTCCCCTATAATGCCATAAAGCAGAGGAAGTCATACTGTGCTGAAGACTAACCCAGTAGTACAGCTATCAACTGTAATTACTAAAACACATTTCTAAAACTTGAAGGACATTGTATCTTGAATGAATGGCAGGTGAAAGTTTAACAACTACCCAAGCTATTCTGCATCAATTGATCAAACTATAAAAATATTAATATTAATATCCATGTCATTTTGCTTGTCCATGTCTCTCATTAGAGCACATCCAATTGACTACTGTACTATCAGATCCATAGATTTTACAGTAGGGCCGCAATTAAACAAATCCATTCATATCACTTAATTTTCCTTTTCTCGCTACTCATTTCCTTAGGATTTATAGATGATTTTCAGTTTTATTTACAGATATTGTAGGAAAACTGGATGTAGGACTAAAGGCAGCTGGGTAACTCTAGAGAATCCCTTGCCAACACAACTCATTTACCTTTATAAGTACTAGGGATAGACAGAGGAGCAGGTTACCTTGCTAACATGATGTTGGAGTTTGGGTTGCAGGTGCCTGGCCCTGTAGGACTCCATTTAATAGTATAAATCTCTTTGCTGTGGGCCTGAAGGTCATGTACACATGTATCTTGCTTCATACTCCAAATCTGTGCCAGGAAAATGAGGGAAAATCAGCGAGGTAGCTAAACTTCATCATCTTTTCCCAGGTAGGCAGTTTCAACCCTTTTCTATGTGCATGTTATTTATCACAGTTATATATCTGACATGTAGATAAGAGACCTCAGCTTAATTTATTGACCTAGCAATTTGGCAAATGCAATATACACAGCTATATAATTTAGAATAATGTTTATGAAAGTAACATTTATTCACTAGATCAATAAAAGCTGACAAGAGTTACCTTGACCATGGACCCTGGATTGAATTAACTTAATTCTGACTTTCATAGGTAGTGCATCTTAGCTGGGTATTTATTTAGAGGTTAATATTAGCAATTTAAAAAATAGGACTAGAATACTTAAAACAGATTAGAGTTCACTAACTGTCCTATAAACCCCCAATGAAGGAAGGAGACCAGTGGTTCTCAACTGGGTTGCCAAAGCACTGCAGGGTGATGCAAGACCCTTTTAGCTTTTTGCTGCCACTGCAGCTATAATCAGGTGGAACTACAACATGCACTTCCTGCACAGCCAGATCAGGAAGTGGTTAGGGCAGGAGCATCTCCTCTCATTGTAGCCCTTCCCAGGTCAACCCTAGTTAAGAGTCTCCTGGAAAGAGGAGTGAGGGGCAGGTGGAACTGGAAGCATGCAAGAGGTGTGCCGTGTACTTCTGCTTGGCTGTGGCAGTGCTGGTAGTGCACCCCTTGATCTGCCCTCTCCTTCCTCCTGGGCCATGTGCATCATTTTATCCATCTCCTGTCCCTCCTGTTCCTTCAGTGCTGCACATTCAGACTGGCACCTCATCCCTGCTGGCTGGACATTTCCAGACTCTGTCCATTATGGCCCCAGGACTGGAGTTCAGGAGCGATCACACTGGAATAGCTAAGGGCACAGTTTGGCCCAGCAGTCCCCAGTCTCCACCAGTGACCTGGGGTCATGTGTGGGGAGTCCATATGTTGCACAGGCAGAGCCAGGAGAGCACTCCCTTCCAGTGGCCAGATGTGAGTATAACAGAATTATAATAGGGCTGTCAATTAATCACTATTAACAGGCCCAATTAACACTGATGCCAGGCCATGCATGGCGGGGGGCCCTTCCCCACTCACTGCTGCTGGGCTGCACACACACACGTGGCCAGCAAGCAGCCAGGCAGGGTCCTGGGAGCAGACTCGGCAGCTGGATGCAGGTAAGTGTAGGTGGGGAGTAGGAGTTGGACAGCCAGGTCTTAGGGACTGTTTAGGGTGTGTGTACCTGTGTGAGGGGGGATGAGTGCCTGTTGGTGCTGGGGAAAGCTATCTGGGCATTGGGGCTGCGACAGGGTGAGGCACCTGCCCCTCTAGCAGGGGAATGGGGTGGGGAGACTCTCTGAGGGCGGCGGGGAGCTCTGTGGCCAGGTGGATGGCACAGGGGATGGTGACTGTGCTTTCAGAGGCCGGGCAGCCCCAGAAGAAGCTGCTGGGGAGAACTGTGGGGGAGCAGGGGTTGCAGGTCAGGAGTGCGGGGCACCAGCAGTGCCAGGGGGCTGTGGGTTGGGAGTGAGCTTTGCCCTCTACAGGTGTCTTCTTTTTTGGAATTGGAAATATACTTACCCTAGTTTGACCCTTTTCACTTACTGTACTTAATCACTATGCAGAAATTAGCACAGTCTTACTGTGTTTTTATGGTAGTGAGTTGTAACTGAAATCATTATATTTGCAAATATAGAAGAAACATCCAAAATATTTATAATAAATTGGGATTCTATTATTGTTTAACTGAATGATTAAAATTGTGATTAATAACAACTATTTTTTAAATCTCACAATTAATTGCAATTAATTTTTAATAGTTTGACAGCCCTAAATTATAATGATAGACTGCCATATTAATCAATACTAGAGTTATAATGTGCGTATGTTATAATATTCATAATAATTTATATTAGGTTTTTAAAATGGGATACCATTAAGTTCTGAAAAGTTTTGGAAGGGTGACTTGAGTCTAAAAAGTTTGAAAACCACTGAAATAGAGGGTGACACCATGGTACCAATTTATCAAATCACTTCACAGATTAATCTTCATTTCCACTTCCATCCCTACTCTGTTGATGTAATGGTTGGTTTTATTGATGCCTTTAATAACATGTATGATAGGAAAATATTTATGCAGCATTTTTAAGTCCAATACTTCAGTATTGGCAAAAGAATAAGTTGTATGGATACGAGAAATTTTATAGTTCAGCTACCTGACAAATGAAAAAAATCAAGCAAATTGATATGGTAAAAAATGATTCAAAATTACAGATATTCAGTGGCAAAGAGATACCAGAAAAAGCAATAGTGCTCCAACTCACAGGATGTAAATTAGAAGCACGTGAAAAAGCCAATGTGTTTTTAAGCTGCGCAAACAGCAGCTTCCTATTGTTAACTAGGAACATAAAACTACACCTGGAAATGCCACACCTAGATTCATAGATGTTAGATGTTAGGGTTGGAAGGGACCTCAATAGATCATCGAGTCCGACCCCCTGCATAAGCAGGAAAGACTGCTGGGTCTA